CTCACGAGCATCGGTACCTACTTCTACGAACAAGCGGCGGAAATTAACCAATACCACTGAGAAGCCGACTGAGACAGCCAGCGATGACAACGATGACGAAGACGAAGACGACGAATCGCACATCCAAAACCTTAATTTGCTTGTGCCTAACCTTTCGCTCAGCACTGGCTGCGCACCTGGATTTATCCCGGGTGCTCCACCCTCGGCGCTGGCGCAGTCGCTCTCACATCAAATCCTAACACTCCTACACAGTACCCGCTTAGTCCGCGCAGAGGACCTGCGAATCTGGTATCAGTCGCCGAACTTGGGAGCAGAGGAATTGGAACGGCATAATGAGAGCGAGCAGATGGATGTGGATGCTCAAGATGGTGATGCGGGGGGTGTCAAGAGCAGAGAAATCAAAGCGTTCTGGGTGCTTTACATTGATGTGATGATCATCTCCCTAGCCGGCAATCCTTTTGATGCTGCCTGGGCCGCTGTATTGGCTGCACTTCGGGATACGAAATTGCCCAAGGCATGGTGGGACGTCGATAATGAGATGGTGGTGTGCTCGGAGGCGGTTTCTGAGGCGCACAAACTGTCTCTGCGAGGTATGCCTGTCGCCAGCTCGTTCTGTGTCTTCGAGGCAGATGCAGCTTCTGGATGGAGAAAAGTCGTTATTCCCGATGCTGAAGAAGAGAGGAAGATTGAAGAAAGTAACAGGAAAGGCATTCAGCGAAGGTGGATCCTCGCTGACCCCGATGGATATGAGGAGAGTTTGAGCCAGGAGAGGATTTGCATCGTGGTTGACAAAGAGAACGCGGGACAGGGGAAAACAGTGATTGTAAAAATGGAGAAGAACGGTGGATGGGCAGCGGACACTAGAGAGCTGAAGCAGCTGGTTGACATCTCCGCGCAACGATGGGATGATATGAAACGGATCCTTGATAGTTGCTGATTCGGGCGGGTTGACCTGAATATATCTTAACTTTAAGGGCGATGATGATACCATTTGAAATCTTTGAAGGACTTTTTGAAACAGATCATTCTACCTTACTTTCTACCTTCCCGTAGGATATGCATGCCGAGTTCGTCCGTCCCAACTCCACCTATCCCAACCGAATTGCAAAACGCAAATATCTCATGGAATCCGTTCGTAGCAATCAATCCCAAAAAAAAAAAAACCTAAGAGGCACTGACTTTGGCGACTCTAGGACTTCTTCGCTGTCTCTTTGCCGGTGGCTCATCATCGCGATTTGCTGCACTCGGGACGGACAAGCTCTCCTCGCTTGTGGGAGTCTCACCCCTGTTGGTTTGGGTTTTGTGTGATTCGGTCTTGCCCTTCCTGGGTAGCGAGATGGATATTGAAACTAAATCCAACTCCTTCCCCTCGTCTGCACCTTGCGATTTCTCATTTGGTCCTCTCTCCGCTTCCGCCGAGCTCTTGGTCTCCCCACTCTCCGACTTCTTCTCCTCTGTTTTTTCCGTGGCATTGTCAGGCGCTCCAGAGTATAATGCTTTGATATCGCCTGATAGGATTCGTAGAAAGAGACTCTTTGTGTTCTTAACTGGAGCTTCATCTTCCTTCTTTTTCTCCTTCTCATTTGTAGCCTCCTGTTCGCTTTCTTCGGCATCGGAGAATTCCCACATCTCGCGAAGTTCTCCTCTGAGGAGCGCAGTTCCCCACAGGAAAGAAAGCACTCCTGGAACTAAGTAAAGGAGAGCTGGTTGAGCATGGTTGGAGTATTGCATGGCCGCAAGGGTCGATATCATTCCGACAACGTATGCAATCAGGCTGGCCTTGAAATAAGGCTTGGGAAAGGACTTTGCGTCCCGATACGGGGGCTCTAGCTCATGTCCACGCGGTGCCACAGGCCAAGCCCAGAACCGTTCACCCCAGCCGCCAGTTGCAGACTGGTATTGGGGCTTGATGATCTCCGGCCCTTTGGGCTCGAGCCGCGCTTTTTCAATGCCCTTCTTCTTGTAGTAGAGAAACAGGTCAAATCGGAGCGCCAGTCCCACCATCATACCGGGAATGACAATGTCTCCCAGTCCCAGCATCGCCAAGGAAATGGCGTCCGGAGCTTCACCGGGAGCAGGTGGGCGGGGAAACAAGAGCTTAATTGGTACATCTAGCTTTGTAGCGACTGTCACCATCAACGGAGTGTAGAAAACAAAGTAGATATCATAGAAGAACAAAGAGCACAGAATAAGTGACCCAGTTTTGAATGTTGACGGCGACATGAACTGCAGCGCACCGTAACAGAAGCTGAACCCCAGAAAGTTCGTCAGCCACCATGGCTTCATCACAAATGCGAAGTACCCGACAGCAGACAGAGCCAGCAGCGCACTGATAACGTCCAGCAGGCCTACCAGACATTCGCCGTTGAAGAGGCCGCGCACGTGAGCCCGAAGCTTCACCCTCTGATACGCCACGTTGCGACACACCCAAAGACCCGCCACCAAGGCAGTAGGTAATGGAATCGAGCCGAAAATGCCTGGAAGGGGAGTATGGCGGAATTGTATCGACCCCTGGGTATCATCCTGCTGAGCGGCTATGAAAACTCGTTCTGACTGTTTCGCCTTCCAAGTCTTGCCAGCGTAGCGATATCGCCGCGGGAAAACAAAGGATCGCAAGACCAAAAGACTGTCTTTCAGGAATGCGACTGCAAAAAATAGGCCCATCTGAGAAAAGTAAAAGCTAAGAACCTTGTTCAATATGGCTGGGTCATCCAACCATTTGATGATCAAATACAGACCACCGAGAGTGAGACCGGCAGTCAAAGGGAACATCAGCGCATCAGTGGGCTCAAGGCCCTCCATCTTCTGTACGGTCCCCAGTCCTTCCTCGTCTTCTTCCTCATTGTCTGTTTCATTGTTATTCGTATCTTTCTTAAGAGGTTTGGCAGCGGATGAGGGTCTCGAAAGGGATGCATGAGCGCCAATGTAAATAGGAAAGAGAGCCGAAACGAGAAGATGTCCGTATGTCGGGAGGAAAGGTTTGATCTTCGTGTACTGATAGATGGCCTGCCCCAAGAGCTCCGCAAGTGGACTGACCTCATCCATGGCAACTGCGAGACTCAGGGTCACAGGTAGGAAAGTAGAGAAAGAGAAATAATCTTCAGCTTAAGTTGAGAATATTCATCTGGTTGCGCTGTGGTTGGAAATCAGTTCATAGCTGTAGGAGGCTGTGTTTATCAAAGAGTGACAAAAGTGTCGAAGCTCTGTGTTTCCCGATGATGATTGCCAAGACAAGCATCTCCATCCCCACCGCAGGATCAGTAGAAAGGTCACATACAACCTTCTGCTCTGTTGGAACCTCAATCTTGAAGATATTCGATTTCTTCCTTTGACCACTTTCAGGTAATAATGGCGACTGACGTGGTATTTGACACGAGTATGGTAGGACTACCCTGTGGCCACACAGCAATTGGCTCCTCTAACGTATTCTAGGGCTCGTTCACGGTAGAGCTTTACAACGAGCATGCGCCAAAGGTAAGCAAGGAACTTATCCTCCGACCTGGGCGCTCTTCACATGCTGATATATACATGACTAGACTTGCAGGAATTTCGCGACTCTTGCCCAACGAGGTTATTACAACAACGTAATTTTCCACCGCATTATCCCCAATTTCATGGTACAAACCGGAGATCCTACTGGTACCGGCAGAGGAGGCAGCTCAATCTACGGCGAGAAGTTTGAGGATGAAATCCATCCGGGTCTCAAGCACACAGGAGCTGGTGTCTTGAGCATGGCAAACAGTGGGCCCAACACCAACGGCAGCCAGTTCTTCATCACCCTTGCGCCTACACCGTGGTTAGATGGAAAGCACACAATTTTCGGTCGAGTAAAAAGCGGAATGCGAGTAATACAGCGAATGGGACTGGTCAAGACGAATACCGAGGATAGACCCGTCGATGAGGTCAAGATTATTCGCGCCAATGTCGTGGAAGAAGGCGAGGAGTGAGGTGAGCTGCAATGCGGTCTATCGCAGACGTATTTCAGGATTCGAGGCTATATGCACATGTCATCGCTATCTTCATCACACGCCTCTATCAGACGGAGCCTGGAGAAGGATACTCGAAGATAACAGCCTAAACCTCCAGTATGCGGGCTTGATGTACCGCTTGGCGTCGTGGTGACAAGAAACGCAGCAGTCGAAACGATGCGCCATGCCCGCTCAGGCAGGAGAATTTTGTACTGAAATTGCTACATGTATATGCCATCTGGCTACCTATTGGACAGCACAGAAATCTACAATATGACGATATGTATCACTACAAACGAACCGCTTCCATCAGATGTCTCCATCCGGAGCAGCAGATACAGAGTGATATAATCCGATCTACCACTCCCTGTAAGGACAAGACCAATGAAGGCTTGTCAGCATGAGACGAATCTGCTATGGTTGAGTGCAGAATGCCTGTGCAGAGCACCGGGGAGTGGTGTGGTAGAAGAAAAGAAGATTCTCTGCGTGCAATCTTTTAAAGGTGCTAAGGTAGCGAAGCTGTCTAACTTGATTTAGAATAGTCGGATCCTGACGTAGCTAGGCTCGGAGCTCAGAAGGCCAACGAAGTGAACGAACAAGATTTAGCAGATTATCTCGGATGAGAGAAATGACAGTACATAATGTTAGGCTGGAAAGGGATAGGTTCTATCAATGAGGAGGAAAGCAACCGAGCGGACATGAAGAATGAACATACGGGCAGAATGAGTCTTGAGTGTCTTTGAGTACGAAGAATATGGCCCGAGCTTCATCACGTGTCGCACTATCAGTGCGGGTCAGGACGGGAGTATTTCTGCGTGTCTCCTTCGCTTTCTATTTTTCTTGCTTAGAAGAACTTCCTTTCAAGGACGGATGAAAACTCCTACCGCATTCATGGGCAAGAGATTCCTGCTCGCGAGGAAGTGCTCCATTGCCTGCCACCCGACTTAAATGATAGTTGGGTTTGCTCATCGTACAGCATCACACTGAACCCTTTTTTCCAGCTCTGTACGCCTTGCAACTTCCATTCTCAGGATGGAGTCTTTGGCAGAAACGCCATGGGACGTAACAATCTCTGGTACAGGGCTGGCGCAGTCGCTTCTAGCATTGTGAGTCGGATAACGGCAACTGCTCCACTCGTTCTGTTGTTAACCTTATCATTCTGCAGGGCCCTCTCCCGGTCAGGCAAGAAGGTTCTTCACATTGACCGTAACCCGTATTATGGAGGCTCTGAGGCTGCATTCAGCCTTCAGGAAGCCGAGGACTGGGTTTCCCAAGTGAATCAAGGTAATTTGCGGCATTTCTGCCCTTGATATGTGCTACCTATTATTTGCTGACTGGTGTTATAAGCTAGAACCGAAGTCTTACCCCTTTGAAGACGCGTCCATCTTGAAGCCTCAGCAAACACGGGAGTGCAATGCTCAGCTAGCTTCGTCTCGAGCATATACACTTACGTTGTCACCACAACTGATTTATTGTCGATCTGCGTTGTTGCCCACGCTGGTGTCGTCGAAGGTCTACCGCCAGCTTGAATTTCAGGCCGTTGGAAGCTGGTGGATTTATAGACCTTCGAGCAACTTGACTTCTGAGAGTATTACGACTGTGAATGCATGCTCAGATTTGTATCGTGTGCCGAGTAGCCGCGAAGATGTTTTCGCCGACGATGTGATCAGCGTTAAATCGAAGCGAACACTGATGAGATTTCTCCGGCACATCGCCAAGCCTCAACAGGATGACGAAACCTCGTCGGAACAGGAGGATCTGACCGGCTCGTTCCCGGACTATCTCGCATCCAACTTTCAAGTCCCTGCCGAGCTTCACGATCCGCTTCTATCGCTTTCATTGGCCCAGAGTTCTCCCCACCAGACGTCAGCCGAATATGCGGTAACGCGCATCAAGAGGCACTTGACCTCTATCGGTGTCTTCGGTCCTGGATTTGGAAGCTTGGTCGCCAAATGGGGTGGAGGATCTGAGGTCTCTCAAGTAGGCTGCCGAGCTCTCGCAGTTGGGGGCGGGGTGTACGTCTTGGATTCTGGGATCGAGTCGGTCAGAAATGATCCCATTGAGCCTGACGATAGCGATGCCAGTCGTATAGAGGTTCAACTTGCCAATAATGAATCGATCAGAACTCGTTTTCTGGTTGGTTCGAACTGGGATCTTCCTGCAAATGTTTTGGACCCTCCTCGTTATGATAGGGTTTCCCGGTCAATCACGATTGTCTCTTCCTCTCTGGAAAATCTCTTTCCAGTTACTGCAGAAGGTGGCCCAATTCCTGTGTGTGCAGTTGTGGTTTTCCCAGGAACTCTTTTAGGTCAAAGAGAGGACTCGCCGCCAGTATATATTCTGGTTCACTCCAGCGAGACTGGCGAGTGTCCATCGGGACAAAGTAAGTTGCATTCCTCTTTCGTTCTTCTTACGCAACACTTCTCCTTGTATGCTCACATGATGACTTTCTTGAATACTTATCTACATTGCCTGTAATTGCATTGATGAGAACATAACCTCTGACAGCCTGAAAATGAGCATTTTGTCATTATGCTTTATATTCCACTCGTTGGCAATGACTGTGGCACGCCGCTGACGAATATCAGGTGTCTTGTACTCCAGTGTCTCCATATCTGGACCTCATGGCCAACCCCTTCTTGAAAGTGCTATACACAAACTCCTTCAATCCAGTGCAGATCCCGACGCAAAGACCTTGTGGTCCTTGCGTTTTACACAGTTGGGGCGCGCTAGCCAGGACGTTCGTGGTACCCATACAATCCAGAAAAGCTCGCTGTCGGCGAATATACTCTGCTTCCCGCCTCCTAGCCTTGATCTTGCCTTTGACGATGCGCTCATTGACACGGTGAAGGATGCGTGGAAGATGATCATGGGCGATCAAGCTTCAAATGACTTCATGAAATTTGAGGACCGGGAAGGTGCCTACGATGCTGATTGAGAAGCCTTACCTCAGATATTATGATAGAAATTTAGATTTAATTTTCTTGAGCATAAGAACAATCGTTGAATACACTTTACCCAAACTTTAATCGGCATCGCTTTTTGTGCCTTTGATTTGCATGAATTCCAGTCCACCGACGCCTCGTCTCCTGGGGGTTAAGGCCAGGAGAAGAGTCAACTGCCAGATGAAACGAACATTCCTCTTACTGACCCAAACGTTCTACCTTCCACAATCAGCAGACTGGGAACTCCTACTGCTATATATGGCAAGACTGAAGAACTGTGCTTCATCGGCCATGATCTGTACACCAGAAGACAGGGTCGTGATCTAAGGTTGAACATTGTCATTAGTTATCAAGATGTGCTGACCTATAAGTGCCTATACATGGCGGTGGCAGGGCTAACCATCTTGTTCTGTATCAGACAATCTGGCCAGGCTTCAGCTCCGCTCATCACGGCGCAGTGTTTGGGCCTGTGTCCTTCACCATCTTACTAAGTATCTCACCTTAGGGAGGAGGTCTCAAAAAGTAGTAATCTGTTATGGAGTTCCATCGGGTATTTTCTAAGTAGCTAATATTGTGGAAAGATTGAGATAGTTGCATTCCATACAATCAAAAGCAGGTGTTTGAAGGGTGAAGGGCACACAATAGGCTGCATTTGATTACATTCAACCTTCTTGAAGGTGGTAACTGCTGTCGATGGTGGCATATCTCGAGCGGTGCTACATTCTAAAATGAGAGGCAATTTCGTCAGATGCGCAGACTGTACATCTTAGGTGGCACATTGGAGGGAATGGAGATAGTCATTCGACTCATTCCTCTTGATGTACGCATGTAACCCGTGCATGTATAAAACTGAAGGGTTACGCCTATCTATATATGATTGATTTGAGATAGAGTGGACAAACTAATAATTTAGCAGAATTCTAGGTTAAGGTAAAAGGATACGGGCTCTAAGACTAACAGTTAGAGTCCTCAATGTGAGTTCTGAAGTTGCGCTGGCCTCGTCCTTTCTGGTGCTGACACAGTAGTCCATTGTGATGGGGATATATATACTCGTCTCTTGCCAATGAAGTGGCGCGACGGAACAAATGGCGGCCGACTACCTCTACGACAGCTTTAGATACAAGTGGTCAAAGTACTGTAGAATACAGGCAGAAATCAATGAGATCCAATCCCTCCATCATCTTCAAGTTAGTAGTTGCGAAACGATACTCATTGTTCGTCCCAATCTTTGGGCTCCTCCACTTCCGTGGTGGGCCGTGCCAAAGCCTATACTTCTGAAACTGCTGCGAAGATTAAGAGCCATGTTGTCGGTTAGCGTGTGGTATCTAGAGCACTAACGATGTGCGTACGGAATATATCCCCTGGCCTTACCAGCAAGCCCAAAAAAATTGATACAGAGATGGGTGTTGACATGCTACCGAGCAAAGTAGCAGATACAGATGGACAGTGGTTACTATGCCTTACGTACTCGCTGTGCAAGGTACAAGTACCTCCATAGTAGGCTGGTCGGTGGTTGATGGTTACCCAAAGTGATCAGACTTCAGACCCATGCTGCTTCTGATACTATGGCAGATGGACCCTGAGGCTTGAGCAAGATCGTGTACGAACCACGAACCAGGAATCCCGAGCCCTGAAGCGAGCAAGCAAGATTGGTCGCTGCGAACACCTTTAACCTGACCGGCTTCCTTGGCAAAAAGTCATCCAATGGAACTTGGCTTGGATCGGCACAGACCTCAAATCATGAATAGGGGTTTGAGGTAACGGCAGAAATTAGAGCGTTTCCGTGGATGAGGCAATGAAGATCAGGAGCATGCAAAATCTGCATGATTGGGATGTATCAGTAATCGGTAACTATCTAAGCAAGGACTCAGCATTGTGGAATAAATTGATCAAACAATCTTCCTCTGATGTAACTGGCATAATTTGGTAGTTTTGTGCAACAAGGTTGAAAATGTTTTTGTAGATTTCTTTTCATAGGACGCAAAAGGGGTGACAGCTTGCCAAGGCATACGTTCGAGCTTAAATAACCGGTCGTATCGATAAGTGATAACCATGTATTAGCGAGATGAGGACTGGAGATCATGCTGATCATCAGACAGCCTGTGCAGAATCTTCTTCGTATTATTATTGCTGACTCAATTCCGACAACGCGTATTCAAATCATGAAACGAGGGGAGATATCCACCAGGCGATCCATGGCAGATGATACTCGCATCTTGAGTCCATAAGCAGGCGTTGTCTTAGTCAAAATCCTTGTTGTTATCCTTCCGTGGATTCTGTTGCTGGAGTACATGTACCCCATATCCTGTACACGCGTCCCCAAGCTGTCAGCCGAGTGCGCATTGTTTGATGTATATTATTGGATTGCAACGAACACTCTCATGGGGTCAACCAGGCCGATCCCGATCCACACTGCCACAGATACCGCGACAAAGGATTCAAGTCAGCTCATAAAGATGTCCAGTCACAGGGCCCAGATTTGCCATTCCTCTTATGTTGCCACTTGCCACTGCGGACGAGCGCGTAACAAGATACTACTACTCAGTATTCACCTTCTGATGAGGACACTAGTAATAAGGTAGCGTTACTCCATACGATGTTACTGCTGAGGGTATTAATGTGCAGTTAACCAGGTCATAAGTACGGAGTACAAAGAAACATTTGCTATGGAGCATGGTCGGGATCCCAGTCCGGCGGCAAATTCTAAAGCAACATCATCAGTTGATGACGAGCCTGTATCCCTCGTAGATTGGTTCTCACTTTCCAGACAGATTGCAATGGTAGTTGATCTTGTTATGGGAGGAGAATGACATTCATCACATCTTTGTTATCAGTCTTTGGATCATTGACCATTACAGAGTGCCTAGGACTACTCTGTAGGGTGTGCCCATTCCTATCATTGTGCAACAGGGTCAGGCCTCAGGAGCATATTCCATAGATAGCTCCTGAGAGGAATAGGAGAAATAACGTGTGTCGGGTGGACGAGGACACGCGGCCCATGGGGCTACGGACCCAGCAGCCCTTCAAATGGCGGTCCCTGAGTGGCTGGAGACACGGGAATGGCGCAGATCGTTGAAGGGTCTTTCTGATTCACAGTTGATACACATTAATACAGGCAACAGACAGTCTCTTAGGTAGATTCGTAGTAGTAGTGTTTCATATGTATTGACAATGAACATGGTCTGTATCAGAAGTCAATCAGTAATGCAAATGCTGCAATGGGTCCTCAAAGTGGTTGCGATGCCATGGATGTCTCTTTCAAGGAATGGAGTAGAGAAAAGATAACAGTGGTTATGACATCAGATGAGGTTGAGACAAAAATGGCTGCAAACATCCACTGGAACATTCCACAAATTAGGTATCTCTGTATGGCATCAGACCATTCCGGCGGGTAGATCACAACAGCAAGGGACTATCAAAGTGGAAGATACTGTAGATACCAACAATGTCAACATCGGTGGTACTAGTAAGGTTGATAAGTCTATCGACTTCCTTCAAAAACATGGTATTGTTGGCACTGATCTGATCCTACTGAAGAGTACCTTGGATAGCGATTGTACTGAGTACTCTGATAGGTATCCCACATCCCGCGAGCATAGACAGTTGCATCGCTTGTCCTTCCTTCCACTTCTTTTCCTCATTGGGACAGTGGTCAACAAAAGCTGATTCTTCTCGGATAGTATTATTAGATGCTATCAGCAAGATCAAGAGCAAACCTGATCTTTCTTCCGCCATTTTGTGTCGCTTCCAGTAGAGCAACTCCCCGTAAAACATGCTCAAGAAGCCGGGATCGTACAAATCAACGGGCATCATGACAATATGTCAAAGAATCAGCGTCTGCTGACATCAAATCGCTGATTGCAAGGGTCTTGATGGCCGGAAGTGAAAAATACCAACCACCCACTTGGCGGAGTTGGGAAGATCCGTAGTATTCCAGAGGTAGTCCATACATCTGAGCGACATTCTTCTTTTTCTGTCCATGATCTGCGACCATAACTGACTTGCTAGTTGCTACTTGCTAGAGGCGGAAATGGAAAATAAAAAAGAAGTAGAAAGTGCGGGAGGCGTCAAATAAAGATTGTTTCCTGTCAATGAAAACCATGCCTTCGTAAGAGAATTCTTGGATATCTCTTCCTCGTCCGGCATCCAGATGGGATTCTGCATCTAACCTGCAACCTCTCAATTGGGCCAATTCCTGCTGGTGCTCACTGCCAGATCTCAGTACAAAATCTCCAAGCGATCACTACCTATCATCTCTGCCTCTTCCCCCCCGTTTGATCCACCCAGAAAAGTGCAAAATACGACGGTTGAGCTTAATTAGATTTAACAGATTTAATTTACCAAGTGGGAGCTTTGGCCCGACCGCAACCCGTGGTCCAGTATTTCGGCATTCCCACTTGGATCGGTTCCTGTGCCTCTCTCCTGTCTTCATCCTTCTCTCATACTTTTTTCCCTTTTCTCCCCTCTTCTTCCCCCTATTCTCTTCTTCTCTCATCCTCCTCCAGGCCTCGACAACAACCATATCCTCGACCTTCCATCCCATCCGCCTGGATTCTCTTTTCTAGCCCTGGACACAGAGTCCAGTTGTGCTGTTTCTTAGCCTCCTTGTTGGAACTCTTTTTCCTGTTTTCTTACGATCCTCTCGACCCCCCCCGTTCCTGCGGTATCCCAAACGAACAATTTCGCCGGATCGTTCTTCAATCCGCCTCTCGCTCTTTTTTTGTGACCGTGTCGCAGGCCTCGACGCTGCCAGACTCTCGTTGTCAGTCTCTGAGCATATCCAGGAAATTTCTCCTGATTTGCCAATTCCACTCATTTACCGAAGAACGCCCACTTCATCATCTCCAGCTTGTTCGGCTCCGGACAGCTGTGCGATACGCATCCGCTTTACGACTCTTCGTTTTCCGTTGATGTGCTCTTAATACGGATAGACGCACTCTTATAATATTTCAATTCGCTGTATCTGCAGTATCGCGATACTTTAATGTGGGAAAAGTCGCTTGACCACCATAACTCCACCAAGATGCCTATCTTCCGCCTCAAAACCGTTTTCCCTCTCATCGCGCTCTTCTCCATAATTGGGTTCTTTTGGGGTATGCAACGCTATGATCGTGCGGCTCTTCGGTTCAAGCACCCGGTCGACCGTGTAGCGCCGACGACTCAAACTCCTCAGATCCAGCTGCAACCATCGTCGCCTCAGTCTACGAAGACTTGCGAGACTGATCCTAATATCATGCCTCCCTTGCCATTCAGCGAATGGCTTCCTCGCAAGAATTATACTCGTGCCTACTTCCGTCCTCGCTTCGTGAGCCCCAGAGCAGAATTCAATTCTCTTGAAGACATCAATGTGCCTGTCCTTCAACCTATGACTGTTATGGAGCGTGGCATGGTTGTTTCGCCAGAGAACAAGGATCCTTCATTGCCATGCCCCCCGATCATCGATGTCGATGTGGCTGCGGACGATGCGGTTGATGAAACGGACAAGATCCTGTTCGGTCTGGCTACGACTGCTGACCGTCTGGATCGCCTTCTTCCTTCGCTCCTCTACTCTTATGGTAACACCAAGGCTGGTATCATCGTTCTGGTTCCAGAGTCGGACGACGATTTAGACAAGCAAATGACTTACTTCCGTAACCGTGGCTTGGACCTGACTTTGATCAAGTCTCCACTCGACTTCACCGCTCGTTATTTTGGCCTGGTCCAGGCTTTTGCGGAGCACATCCGAACCAAGCGCCCTCAAACCACGTGGGTCAGCTTTATCGATGATGACACCTTCTGGTTATCCCTTCCCACTGTCGCCGAGGAACTGAAGCTGTTCGATGCGAACAAAAAGCATTACATTGGTGCTTTGTCTGAAGCCAGCTGGCAAGTTGACACCTTCGGACACATTGCCTTCGGAGGTGCTGGTGTATTTGTCTCGAAACCGCTGCTCGATGTCCTCGAGCAATACTATGATGAGTGCCAGTCATGGGGCGAGCAGCCTGGTGATCAGAAGCTTGGCCAGTGCATTCAGAAATACGGCGAAGCTCCTCTTACTCTTTGGCCCTCGCTCTACCAGATGGACATGAAGGGTGAAGTTGACGGTGTTTACGAGTCTGGGCGGAAGATTGAGTCCCTGCACCACTGGAACAGTTGGTACACCAAGGACGTGGTGAAGATGACCACAGTGGCCGCCGCTGCAGGTCGTAAATCCGTCCTTCGTCGCTGGGTTTTCGATCAGGAGGAATATGTCAACAACTCTACTGGCAAGTCCGTCCGCACGTTCTGGGTCATGACCAACGGCTATTCTCTTGTCAAGTACACTTATGACGAAAACACCCCTGACGATGCGATCAACTTCGATCACACTGAGAAGACTTGGGAGGAAGACCCCCGTGGTTATGAGGGCCGCTTGGGCCCTCTCCGTCTTAAGGATCAAGCAGGTGTCACCAAGGATCGCTGGTTGTTGAAGGAAGCTTATGTCGTTGGTGACAACGTGCACCAATGGTATGTGCGTGAAGAAGACGAGGGCCATAGTGTCATTGAGATTGTCTGGCTTGGACCTAAGGGAGGCGGCGGTGCTGGTGTACATGATTACGCTGTGAGAAAACAACATTAAAACATCCAGACTGATCGAACGAACCTCACCACCGATACTGAGGCTGGTCCTTGGGCTTTGTGAAGATTTTCATTTCTATTCTTGCACATGACTATTTCCCACTTTGCCTTATTTCTTTCTTTCCTTTGCTTATATCACCCTCCTTTGGCGACCATGTTGGCAACGGGACGGAAAACTTACATATGATGGTGCCAGAATGGGTTCTTGCCCGAAAGCCGACTTTCCACGTCCTATTCTTGCATTGTTGATTTGTTCGGCGTTGTGTTATTGACGGGGTCAAGAATGGCGTAGTCGAAAGATCGGAATCAAGTGGCTTTTCACGAAAAGCATTTTTCGTTTGAGGTCCTTGACCAGTCCTGGCTTTTTCATCTGGCTGTGCTGGGGGACTTCCACCCTTGATCTGACATTTCACCCTGTTGAGTCTTTCTCCTACCCGCTCCTACGAGTGACTTTTTTTTTTTCTTTATATGTGTCTTGTAAAAATAGAATTTCAGGCTGAGCTGGTGTCACTGCTTCTGGAGATTAGCGTTGACCATTTGTCGTTATGCAAGAATATCATGACTCGAGTGTTAGATTAGATTTGGCTACTACCACTGCGTCTGTCCATAGGAACATGAATCTATCCTCATTGCATTACCTCTGTGTCTATGTATACTTGATGTGCGAAGTATAACCTACAGTCTGATCTTTTGGCCAAGGAAATTGTCAACAATCAAACTTGGAAAAAACTTTGGGAGTGATCATTGCTTCACCGAGCCCATCTCATAAAGGTGTTTTTGTCCCAATGCAAAGCCCTTATTATCACTGAACATGCTAAGGGTTGAACAAATACAACTCTACCGCTACCTACCATCCCTTTGATCCGACTCTCAACCATGACCAAGACGAGTGTAAATTGTCCATCTGAAACATAAGTTTGTCTCAATATTCCAAACGTTTGCCTCATACTTGATCCGGGGGTACTTACCTGTGCATGTGCAGTGATCTATCTGGCGCTAGCCAAGCAGCAAGCAACTGCTATCTGATACATCACTCAACTACCAAAGTATTCCGTAAGTATCAAGAGCCTAAAGCAGGACGCACGAGGAGTCAAGGAGTCGCCGCTGAGTTCCAACAGCGAATCCTCGTGGTATCTTAGAGCTTAATCGAAACTACCAGGTAGATACCTATTGCAGTAACTGTAATCAAGGTATTTATAGTGAACGATGCATATATGTATGACCAGCTTGATATGGAGTACACTATTGGATTTGGCGTAACGTGATCGCTATGGCTGGATGATTACATTGGACTATTGCTAATAGTGAGACTACCTTGCGAATTATGGTGCGTTGATCGTCGAATATTCTGGACTACTGAGGTTTTATCTTTGCAGAGAAGACAGCAAGCCATGAACAAGGTGTCCTGTTGGAGGCGATAGAGGGCGGATGGCGCTGGTAATTGGGGGCCAAAGTTCGGCTGACTCGAGGGATGGAATGCACCCGACTTGGTGGTGCTTCTAGCTCTGTGCTTATGGTCGTGACGATGAAAGACACTCTGGTCAGACACTTCTCCACTTGTTTCTAGGCACTTGTACTCCGTAGTAGCATCCACAATGAAGATTAAGATAATATAGCCGAGCGAAAGTAGCCAAGGAAATGGACATTTACTTACAGACTATCTGCAGAGTGGTCGAGTCTGCATTCTGCAGCGATAAGGCACTCTTACTCCGTGCCTAGTGACCTGGCTGTCGCACGAGGTAATATTACGGTACAGAGGGAAATGTGAGTTGGCCTCCAAATCGAACCTTCTAAGAGATCACCCAATTATCAGCACTGCCAAGTCCATATTTCTCCACCGCTAGGTCTGGACAAAGTATAATCGATTGCTAGGTTACCGGGTTTGTACCGAGTATTGTAAGCTTGAGGGTTCATATAAGAAATCCAAGCTGATCTTATAACGCATGAATGCTTCGCTTCCAGCCATCTATTCAGTGAATTAATTTTTATTTTTGAGATGGACAACTTGGAGTACAAGCTACATAAATGTATCATATATCCTCCAGCTGGAAGCTGTAATTGACTACTCAGTAGGTACCTTAGGCAGGCCTGGCCGCTGATACAACCGGCCGAGGTAAGGTAATAATACCATCGTAACGGTAGTGTATTCAGTCGCGGATACTGCCAGACCCACATGTGCACGTGACTGACCGCCTGCCTGTCCCAACCGGCACTTTGCCTTCTTCGACTCTCCTCCCGATTTTCTTTCCTTCTCGTCCTGAACCCAAACCCTGCGAAGCAAACGCGTTACTCGATTTGGTCATCCTTCCCCCCCTCAAAAGCATCATTCCTCTTTGGGCATTCGTGTTCACAACCCCCAGGGTTCTACCATTACTCGCTTCTCAACTCGATTAATCTTTTTCCGTACCCTTTTATCACCTACTTTTGATCCATCATGGCCGACATCACTGCCGTCGGTGAGGAGAACCCTTCTCCTACCCAGGACGACCTGCAGCAGGCCGCCGGCAATGGCGCCGCTGACACCCGCGGTCCCAAGCGCTCGAGAATGAGTGCAGAAGACGACGACGATGACGATGACAAGCCCGGTCGCGAGCGCAGAAAGATTGAGATCAAGTTCATTCAAGATAAGTCGCGTCGCCACATCACCTTCTCCAAGCGGAAGGCGGGTATCATGAAGAAGGTGCGTGCTTTCGCGTCTCCCTGCCCGCGGTTATCACTTATTTCTCGACCCTCTTGCATGTTCTATTTGCCCTTTTCTGTTTTAGCTTGTTTTGTTTCCCGTTTCGAGTCTCTTGTAAAAGACATATTTCGTGAAATCAGCGACATTGGACAGTTGCTGACGGTTCAATGCGATCGCAAAACAGGCGTACGAGCTCTCCGTCCTCACAGGTACTCAAGTATTGTTGCTCGTCGTGTCCGAAACCGGTCTCGTCTACACTTTCACTACTCCCAAGCTTCAACCACTGGTGACGAAGGCTGAGGGCAAGAATCTCATCCAGGTTAGTTGTCAGAGCACGTTCGGTCTTGGACCAGCACAGTTGACCAATTCCATTCCAGGCTTGCCTCAATGCTCCCGATCCCACCACCAACGAAAATGGCGTTGAAGCTCCGGAGGTGCCAGCAGAGACACCCGAGGATGTTAATCACAGCAACGTCAACCCTCAACAGTCGAATATTCCCCGTCCTGCGGGCATGCATCCAGGCTATATGACGAACGAACAGCAGCAGCAGATGGCCTATTATCAGGGCTTGCAGCAACAACAACAGGCTGGTGGGCAGTACCCCGGCATGCCTGTGGGCAATCGAATGCCCCCTCAGCACCAACCCACTGCGTAGATGGGGTTCTTGTTTGCATACCTAACGTGAGCTGAGAGCTGTTCGATGGTCCGTGTTTCGCCTTCATTGTCGACTGCAACATCTGTAACTCCGCTCTGCCCTGCCCTATTTGATACCCGTCGATTCTTGATGCCTCAAGAGTTGATTCTCCGAGATCGGTCTTTTGTGGTCTCGCCGTCACGGCGAGTAACAAAACCACTATATCGACATCCAACCTGAGAGAATTGGAAAAGAAAGAAAGGAAAAAAAAAAGTTATCCCACACTATAAAGGATACGAGTACACCGATCTCGCTCCAGAACAATTACTCCCTTTCCCAGTTCATCATCTCCTAATCATCTCCTAGACGACGGTGGAGGTGGCGGTGTTCCTGGTGCTTTTTCCCATTCTTTATCTTTGATTTTTTGTTGGCGAAGGGGACTCATTTATTCACTTTTTTCATCTGTTATAATCTGTCTGCTGTGCGTTGTTCAATTTTCTATTGTTTCATTTGATTTCCCCTCTGCGTCGTGCGCTATCCCTTCCCATCCTCGTCCCATGGTCGCTGGACTACTTACTCACTTTGGGTTTTGGTCAATTTGACCCAAAAGTAGGGCCATGCTGGAGAAAGGCGCGGAACTAACTTTATCTGACTGAGTAAATGATATGATATGGATGGATTGTTTTCATCGGGTAGGAAGTACGACATGTATGGTACGGAGAAAATAGGAGCTCAGCCTTTCTCTTTGTCTGTCTCTATGTTCCTTAATGTGCTCTAATTCTAAATCAATTACCCAGATCAAGTACAATCGCTACATTTCTTGTGGTATCAATGCATTAGGTGTGAACGGCTCTGCTTTGATCTCTAGCACCTGCCCTGTGAATGATAGTTTGCCATGGATCCTGTAGATCCTAACACAGCTGTCACTGTGGATACTATACCCACATGGATACAAGAAGCCAAGCTAAAAGAGTGACAGCTTTGTTACCAAGTAGCATTATCACATGATGCCATGCTTACGCATCCTAAATCAACTTGTATCTCCTCTGAATCAAGCTAAACAAGCAAGAGTAAAAGCACTATTGAATATATATTGGGGTATTGTACAAAAGGAAAACAGTCATGGTCAAGAAATCGCCAAAATGAGATTTAACGGTCGGACTCTCTAGGCAGCATACGAGCAATAGCAGCATAGGCTTTTCAGCCGTCATGGGAAGGGGAATGGGGAGAGTCAAGTAGAGGATCGTGTGATTCAGATCCAGTCTGCGGGCGGTGCCCTGTCCACCGCGAGAGATATCGTAGGCCGCTTCTCCAGGCTTGGGCTAGGGTGTTTCTCGAGCCTGCAAGGGGGCCACCGCTGGATGAAGTGGCCGAGAATTGGAGCGGTTCGCGACCGCTACTCGGTGAGACGTGGCGATCGGATCCTTCTCGTTCACATTCGTGCTCGCACTCACCCGATGTGCCGTAGCCGATGGAGCGAATTGAGTGGTTACCTGGGAAAGGGCCAAAGTAGGTGCGTCGTTTTTGGAGGGATCGTCGATTGTCGGGGCCCGGGACTGAAGTTCTTCGCTGGTGGTGTCCTTTGTAGACTGAGCCGGGCTTTCTACGGTTCGTCCAAGTGTGTTGACCGACTGCGCCGATTGTTGAGTGCCGAGGGCCACGGAGAACACTTCCTCTCAGGGTGCTGCTTCGAGGACGGGGTTGCCAGTGGGGACCTGTACCGGTGTATTCGTAGTCTGAGTCATCCAGCTCGGCCCAGATGGAGGCTGGGTCCATGTCCGCAGTGGGGGTTTGTTGAGGAATGGATGAAAACAAAGGTAGACTTGGCGTCCGGCGATGAGGGGACCCCTGCGGCGGGTGGGTTGTCTGCAAAAGCGGTTGCCGCTCTCCGATGTGCAATTCTTCGTCGTCTCCGCCAACTTCTCGAGGAGAACGCGGGTTTTCTTCAACAACAGCCATACCGGGACCCAATCCGGTTTGAGAAGGGCCAACGACGGTCACAGACGCATGGCTGTCGATAATCTCCAATCGCCACGAGAGACAGAGCACTCCACTTAGCAGAACGACCGTTCCGAGAGCAATCAGGCCAGCGTGGAAGCCTGCCAGCTGGGACAGTTGGCGAAAGTAGATCAACCCATCAAGGATAGCGATGATGTTGTAGATGCAGAATACAAAAGGATAAAGAATGCTCGTGCTGCACAGCTTCAAGCCACGGTGTAAGAAGTACAATTGCGTCAGTGCAAGGGAGATCATTGCGAGCAGAATCACCCATGACTGCCATCGATTGAACTGATTCACACGATCCACAATCGTTCGGACAAGAAGCTCGACAGCTGACTTCGCTAAAAGTAAGGAGTGAGCCGACAAAATGCCACTGATCAGACCATAGCATAGACCACGGATCAGCCTGACACGGCTTGGGGCCATTGGTATATGCGGAGTATAGGTATGTCGAATACTTGTATGCCTTGAGCGGTGCGGAGAGGTGAGGGACTTGAGCGATTTCGAGCCGAGCAGAATGACCAGCACAATGACGGCTGTCCCCACCATCCAAAGTACGAAATTGCGTCGCTGAAGAAGCTCCAGCAATTGATCCAGACTATGCGCCGGCTCCCCTATAGCACCAAATACAGCTATCAAAACTGCACCAATGCAGACCAGGATCGTGCCGATAAAGGAATACCTGGTGAACGCTTCGCCGAGGATTAAAGTGGCGAAGATGGTGTTGAAGACCAGCCCCGACTATCGCTGACTTAGCAAGTCTCTACCATCTGCTGCCGAAGAAAAGAGAGGACTAACCGCTTGAAGAGTTGAGAGCACTGGAAGCGGAAGCGTAGTGATTTGGATGGTACTTCCCACAATGTTCGAAACAACGAACATTAGCATTCCTAGCTAAAAGGGCATCAGATTTTTCGTCATTCATGTGTCCAGAGAAAAGTCTCATATGCGCACCTGCCATCTTCGACGCTTATATGGTGGTCTTCGTATGTCATAGGGATGTTTCTCGTCTTCGAGTATATGCGATTTGCGCTGTAGTGTCAACCCGATGGCTTGGAGACTGGTCGAAATCAAGCCGACTATTACTCCGACCTGCTCGCATCCTGGTGTCAGTAGAAGAGTCGACGGACATTGCGATGGGGAGTAGCTAGTTTGAAACATACCGCGACACTACCCTGGGGTGACAGATCACCAAGATTTCCCATTATCGGGTATCCTGATGCATTGGTCGCCAAGCGGGGGATGAAGGAGAGCGACAGGGCATGAGAGAAGAGGTTCCAGCAGTTATCCAAATACAGGCGCCATGATCGTTAAATAATATCCAATTCTGAGCGGACGCAGGAACTGAGACGAGTACTCCGTAGTGAAGATGAAGACCAAGCTTAAAGAATTATTGAACCAACACTGGGTTTGAGACGGATTTCTGACCTCATGCGGCGTGGGCGGGAAGACAAAGACAAGTGACCCGATCGATCAGTCGGCAGATCCGCTTCGTGCCAGTGCCACAACACCCTCTCCGTCCACCTGCCCTGCTGCAGTATCAATATCGCTTCACATCTCCCCTTCTCGACATATCACAACATTCCTGAAAGGTAAGCATGATCTCTCGTCCAGCATGATCTCTCGTCCAGCATGATCCCACTCTGTATGCAGCTTGTTCCTTGTGGGACCTTATCAACCAGCAATGCTGACCTTAGCTCCTTGGTCGCCCACCCAGCAAGCACTCCACATCGAAAGCTCAAATCCCCAGGATTGACATTCCAACGCTTCAACTTCCTTTGTTCTTAGCACCAGAACCTTGATACAAAGCTTTCAAAATGTCGCAAAGTCATGCTCTCTCCGATGATCAGGTATGCTGTGGCACCGACCATGGATGCAGGTTCACCGAGCTCATCCAGTCTACGAACAGGTTGCGGGCGAGCTCCGCAAGATGACGGCCTTCATCCGGCAGGAAGCGCTGGAGAAGGCCCGTGAAATTCAACTCAAGGCCGACGAAGAATTCGCAATCGAAAAGTCCAAGCTTGTCCGCCAGGAGACCGCCGCCATCGACTCGCTCTACGAGAAGAAGTTCAAGCAGGCTGCCATGTCCCAACAGATCACCCGCTCCACTCTCGCCAACCGTACCCGTCTCCGTGTCCTTTCCGCTCGCCAGGAGCTTCTCAACGACCTGTTCCAGCAAGCCCGCGACAAGATCTCTGACGTTGCGTCCAAGGATGCCAAGAAATACCAGAACGTGCTCAAGGGGCTGGTTCTCGAGGGCCTGTATGCTTTGAATGAGGATAAGGTATCCATTCGGGCGAGGAAGAAGGATTTCGATGCGGTCAAGAAGGCAATTGAGGAGGCGCAGAAGGAGTTCAAGGACAATGTTGGCAAGGAAACGACGGCGGAGTTGGACGAGGCCGATCCGTTGCCGGAAGGATCGTACGTTCTATCGCCTTCTCTCTTCTCTTGATCATCTATGATTCTAACATATCCTTTTTAGTGCTGGCGGTGTATTCGTTGTTGGTGGTCAGGGCAAGATTGAGATCAACAACACCTTCGAGGAGCGCCTGCGTTTGCTTGAGATTGACGCTCTGCCTGCCGTCAGAGAAACACTATTTGGAAAGAACGCAAACCGGAAGTTTTATGATTAGGAAGGTGGAGGTCTCTTGCTTACAAGTGCTGCACTGTTATCCTCTTATCTCACGCTGGTTTCTGTCCGTATAACCTATGGTCCATCCTCCATCTTTTCTTGAACTTTTGTTATTCGGAATCAGCGTAGCTTTGTACACAGTCTCTTTCTTCTATTTCCCTTATTTTGTCCCGGCAGGGATGAGCGATGATATATACTGCCTTTATACAATAGATACAAATGCGATGGCAAATCCGGGCTGCATAAACATCATCACGTCGTTATTCTAGGTTCTCGCGAGTCCTATTCTTCCCCAGAACTCGTTATGGAGACCGGGTGCAACTTGCATAGTAGGGCCACTCCGCTTTCCATCGGCCTTTATCCTGGAACTTGTCGGGCCCATATCAGCAGCTGGTTGCAACGGTCTGAAGTCCCATCGGCATGGTTTTGTGTGATCTCGAAAAGGACCTTCGAACCCGATATGGCTTGCAATGGAGGCTCATCATGAATGAGAACAGGAATGAGGGAGACTGTTGGTTGACTTGAGTCTGAATTGAGGTATTGGTCGTCTCGAGAAAGGTTGAAAGATCAAGCAGGATGTTCATGACTTCGAATAGGCATTTGGGTATCATTCTTGTCTTCCTCTCTCCTCGATTTTACATATTGCCGCATATCACCTTGGGTGCGTCCATCTTCAGCCCCGAAATCGCCAAACAGTGTTTTCTTCGGACGCGGTTTCGACCTCACAGAATAGACAATGCGGTAGTGCAAAGTTTCAAGGGCCTCCTTGGCTAAAGTTCGCTTGAGATGAGACGCGCCTGAGTCTTGAATCGACACGAAGATCTTCTTGACCCGATCAGCAAGCCTGTCAACCTCGGCATTAAACTCTTTTTCGGTCTCTTTCGTTGAAAATGCCAGTTCAGACCATCCAGAGTCAATGGTTATGTCGAGAAGTGCTGTCACTGCACTGAGTTCTCCATAATCATACTCAGGATTTCGTTTTCCTTTATGTAGGTTGATGTTAAATCGCCGATCCTTCAAAAGGTCGATAATCATCTTTAGATCTCTCATTACATCAGGGGCCTCGGCCAGTCGAGTTGGATCGCTCGTTAAGAAGGCCAGTGCCAGACGGCACCTCAGCGCTGCGATCCGACTCGAGGTAGGTAAAATATGTTTCAGGAGGCGACTCTGAAATACGGAGTCTTTGAAGGTGTTGTAGGCAGATGTGCAGACACGATGCAACTTGAAATCAGTCAGTGGGTGCTGTTACGGTGAAAAGCGCCATGAATCTCACCAGGCTATCAGCCGTGTCTTCGGGGACGCTCTCCATAACTGCCGTGATAGTCTTTTCTAAGTCTGAGCAAACGATAGCGTTGCTGGTAAGGGAAATGTCGAGCGCGAGACGGAAGAGAATATTCAATAGATGTTCCCTGGTGTCGTCGGCAAATCTATTGCAAGTGTAAGCGTGATGGTCGAAGCAAAGAAAAATCAACATACAGTTCTGCGGCACCGCGGAGTAATTCCAAAACAGACAGCAAGCACGCCTGGTGCTGAGGTGTTTCGCGCGAATGACTGTCTGCGAAAGCTGTTAGACTTTAAGCAATTGGGAGGCATTCGCCGAGAATCTCACTCTGAGCTGCTGGTTCTGGGATAGCCGGTTCAGAAATATCCAGCGCTTTGGAGCTGGCGCCCAGCCGCTGAAAGAGACTATTAATATCGCCCGGTCGAAGCAGGGATTTCATGCGTTCAGCGGTAGCATGCTAACAAGGTCATCGAGTAAGTCATACAGTAACGACGAGAATGAATCGATGACTCTACGAACCTTGAAAACCCTGCAATACGCATGCCTCAGGCTCTCCCGAGGCTCGCAAGGCACTTGAACATAGTGAGCAATACGGACGACTCCACGAGAGATAGAAATACTGACCCGAATGAAAGATCCAAGAAATCAGCTCATCGGGGAGGTATGCTCTGGATATAGCGAATTCAAGAGCGCCAGAGTGAAAGGCTCGCTCTCTAGATTCTGGTTCTATGCTCTAGTCAGGACCACTAGAAACTGAATCAGAACCCAGAATGAATTACAAACCTCGCAGTACCGCCAGATATGTCCCCGGAGCTATGGACTCTCGCGGGAATTGCAAGGCAGGCAGAGCTTTTGCTTCGTAGTCAAAGAATGACCAGAATTTCTCCATTTCAAGCGCCTCTGTCCTTCTGACGGCATCAAGTAGACGCTGTAATCCTAGCTCATCATCCTGATCACCAAGTGCTGATGTCAATATTCCTTCATTCAGCTGCCTACTAGGAGGAGTGTCTAGTTTTGAAGAACTCTCATTCTCGCGTACAGCTTTCAATCTTGCAATGGTTGCCTCGGTTTCGTTATCATCAACTGCTTGGGTCACAAGATCATCGAGTGAAAACTTGTATTGCGGGACTGAGACTTTCGAGGAGTCGGGATTCGAAGACCTCTTTGTATCTTTGAGCCTTCGCGAACGCAACGCCATCCCTGAGTCGCCGATATTGTTCGCAATTTCTGTCGTTTCGCTTGCGGCCGTTGGTTTGGGTTTCATGAACATCAATAGAGGATCTTCTAGTTGCTCAAAAGAAGCCACCGAGTCTGTATCCTCTCCATCGGAGCTAATGACAACTTCCTTCCCGTTCTTGACAATCCGCTGAGATGAATTGAAACTTAGCGCTGAAGATGGGTCGCCGACAATAGTCCCGTTACTACTTTGGAAACTCTGCTGAGGCGTCGGCTTTGGAGAGGTGTCCTGAACCGATGATAGTAACGACTCTTTCAACTGTGAGGCAGGTCCATCTGGGGTTTGTGGAGAGCCATCGTTTGCTAGGAACGACGATGAGGCCTCGGTGAGGGGTGAAGACTGTGGTGCCGCAGTAAGAGCTTCGCCTGGGTTGCTATCGGAGTGAATGTCTTGCTTTGTCAGCGCTGGCCGCTTGAAGAAATCTGTAATGCTGCGCGACTGGGACATGTCGGGCATTCTTCATTTACAGACTTCCCTAGATTGACATCATGTCGCGGCCTGCATGGGCAATTGAACATGTTCAGCTTATCTGCTCCGCATTGACGCCTGACACGTATTGAGCGCGCGCTGCCCTTCACGAAGTCACATGACGCTGAGTCATCATCGTGTTCCTTCGCAACATTTCATGCCAAATAAGGGAGTTTAGTTTATTGAGGACTCGTTGCTTCATATGAGGCTATTGAGAATGCTAATTTGAGACAGCTAGTGCGACGCATCCTGGTCCTAGATCGATCATGTGGCGCATGGCGTTGTAAGATGAGCCCTTATCAGACAGGAGTGGAACGTCTATGCGAGTGCCTGTGATACTAAAATGGGAAAGGCTGTGACTGTGTTCGCCTCTATGGATGACTCCCCAAGAATAGTTGTACAGAGTACATGATCAAGTTCAGTCTGTGTTACAGTGACTATTAAGGGTCTCCTCGCCCCGTTGCTCAGCCATGCCGCGTTTCTCAGTTGGTGGTGCACACTCGAATATCAACTTTAAGCCTTAACCAGTAAGCCGCGACAATGATCAAATTCTCACTGCATATATGTCATTATGAGAGCGTTGATGAAAGCTCGTCTCGCTGTGTCGTGCAGTCGGAGGGACCTCGCAGAAAAGCTTGATATTTCCATTTTTAGGTTCTGAAACTACCTAAGCACAGAGATTTGATGCGGAAGCATGAACGACCAGCTGGAACAGCCGCACAACACACTCCATCTACTCCGTATCGACTTCAGGTTCCCGGCATTCATCCTGCTGAATCACTTCTTATCGCCCAGCTCGCGCAGAAAATATTCAGAAGTCATCCTCTGTACATGAGTGAAGTTGGTGAACCTCTGAAAATGACAGTTTGACCTGAACAACATGTCCATGTCGATCGAAATAATAGCAACCCGAAGAAAGATACTTAAATAACACAAGGCTCCTGAAGCAAGCTCTCATCTATTATTCCTATGCAAACTGTAAAGAAAGGCAGAAGTACATCTACTTATTTCGTACGGAGCCCAAAGTACAGTACCTTCATGATTGAAAGGCTGATTACCTATTGAGCTCAGACGTTCTTCAATCCGGCACGATAGAAGGATAACCTAATTAGGAGTTTACGTACCACTGTCCAAGGGGCTATGGTGTCGATCTGACTTAGGCATGCACTTTATTCTCCACAGCACAAGGTTGATCTGACCGACGCCAATCCAACCATTGGGATCCACCGCTGATGCAGTGAGGAGGATGCCATAGCCCACCTTTGTATCTCAACTGTCAAGTATTTTTCTCCGTCACATGTCTATCGGCTCTCTCTATCGGTAGACCAAGGGGTAGTAATGGGAGATATGGAACGTACTATGAAATTGCAGAGCTAGTGAGGAATATATAATATGGCATCCAGGCGGACAAAAAACAGACCCAAAATTCGAAGTTGATAGACCGCGTCAATGCGGCATTAGTGAGATTAGTCATATGTCCTGCAAGGTAACTAGTCAAAAGTCAAACACTCGACACGATCATCACTTCAGAACTCTTCGAGAACAACATTTGATGATCGCCTGTGTACTTCCTCTGAAAAAGGAAAATGATAGGAAAATTGAGATGACAGTCACGACACGCGATAGGGAGCTACAACCAATCTGACCTAGCGACAGGACGACTATCCCTCCAGCAGCCAAGACTCTAAAAAGGAGAGGTATTTCGGAGTATGGAAGCGAAGCAACACACCCATGACCTTAAGGGGTATCCCTATTGTTCACGGATGGACCTAAACAGATAATCTACGATATTGATCAGAAGAGCTCTTTTTATGCATTATACATTATCGAGATAAATAGATAGATAAACTAGATTCTATCTACAAATTACTCCGTAGATACTCATGACTTGAGGTCTTGCAGTTATAGGGGCGTAAAAAATAAAAATACTCCCGTAACTCCGTCCTCCGCGATGGTGGACCGCATGTTCTAGGCATGTGCCATTTGTGCCGTCCCGACGGCTTTAGACTGTTTCAAACTCCATACTCCGAGAAGCCCCTCTGTAAGTGGCCCTTTGGATATTATTCATATTGGATGTAAGCGCCAATACTACTCCGTACTAGTAATATATCAATATTAATACGATAGAACAGCACAATATCAGTACTATTATGATGCTGTTGGATAGGTACCAAGCTACTGCATTCAAGATACTTGCCCTCAAGATCTCCTGGTCAAAGTGATCGAGATGCTCGAAACCACATTATCAACATGCCACAGTACATGCATACCGTGGCTTCAGACGACACTCTCGGCTGCCCTGCCGCGGACTGAAATCCTTAATTGAGGTGTAGGATACCTGCCTAGAGACCAGGGACCAGTTATGACTGCTAATTCATCTATGATGGATCTGCAATCTGTCCAGATTTAAGGACTTGCAACATCTTACTCTGTATCCGTACTTCGGATTAGATTCGGTGGCATCCAACGGTCAATGAGTTCCTACATGCGTTGTATCGAGTTAAGACTGATCCGTGATTATAAAGCACATTTAAACTATTCGCCATCCCGACAAGCCGAAATCCGTACCCAGTATCTACCTTCGCCGCCACCATTAGAAGAATTTTCGATGGGAACCAGATAAATGTCACTGCAGTCTGCGGCGAGGCTGGAAAGGCCTCGAGGTTATGCACCGATAGGCCCCGTACGTCAGTGCTGTAAATTACCATACGGTAATTGTGAAGGACCTCCTAGTAATGAAATCGCGTAGAAGCTACCTAACCTACCTATGCAGGAGAATTAAGGTACCCAAATATCCCCAAAGCTCATTGACAGGCATTGGAAACCTGCCTCCAGTAGTCAGTTCAAAATCTATGAAAAGTAACATCCTGAGTATTAATGACCGGAATTCTCTGCGTTATCTATCAATAAATGCAACCTGCATCTGGGTAACCAAGGTAGCCATATTGTATGCTGACGAAGCGACAGTTATGCCCAGCCTTGCGTTCCGCCTGGCGAACTATGGATGTGTCGACCAGTTATTCCGTATTCCGTAATACCAAACCTACACTTCCCCCGTCTCCCGGAGGAGGGATTGTCGGCGACCCAGAAACTGCTGTCTTCCATCTTACCAATTTGATTAATCTTTTCTTTTCTCTTCAAAAGGAACAGTTTCTTCGTCCGCGATTTTGTCGCCTCATACTGTCAATATATCTCACGTTGTTCCTCTCCTGAATGATGGACCATCGCTTCGCTTGATATCCACCTTCCTCGCCCCCTCCCGTCCTTTCTGCGTACTGCCGCATCATCCTTGTGTTTGGGGTCTCTTGATTCACCTCTGAACCTTCCGCCTCATCGTGACGTGCTTCAAAGATTCGTTAAGCACTACCTACGTACGCCGCAATTAGCACTATTGTTTGGTCCTGCTCCTCGTCCATCTCGGATTACAATTACCACGAAGGGTTTGTGGATTGGTTACACTTTCGAGGTCCGGCTCATTGGAGCGGATGCTCTCTTTCCGCTGTCCTAATACAACACGGTCACCCCGGTTTATGCCCTTACCGCAAGGGCTAGAAGCTGCGTAAATGGCGTCAGATTTCCTGAGTCCGGACTCCATTGACACCGGGAATGAGGTTCGCGAAGTTAGCAGCAATGTCTCGAAGCCGACGAAGCGCCAGAGATGGGCAACACAAAGAGCTGCCGGCGCCGGAGGTGTGCGGAAACGTGTTTCGATCATGGATCGCTTGCATAAGCGTTCTGAAGCGAAGAATGAGAAGCGACGCAGCAATCTACCTCCCACGGAGGGTTCGAATACTCGAAGCGACCAAAGTGACCAAGGTGGTCAAGGCGCCGGTAATCGAAGGGTCTACTTCAATATACCAATACCCGAATCCGAAAGAGATGAAGATGGTCAAATCAAAGCGTCGTATCCTAGAAACAAGATTCGAACTGCGAAATATACACCCTTGACTTTCGTTCCGAAAAATCTTTGGTTTCAATTTCACAACATAGCCAACATTTATTTCCTTTTCATCATTATCCTTGGTGTATGTTTTCCCCCCTCCTCCTTTGGGTCTTCGAAGCCAGCGCAGGTCGATTGCTCTTCAGGCTAACACAACCGTCTAGTTCTTTTCCATTTTCGGTGTAGATAACCCCGCGCTCAACACGGTTCCCTTGATTGTCATCGTCGTCGTGACAGCCATCAAAGACGCCATTGAAGATTGGCGGCGCACCATCCTAGACAATGAGTTGAACAATTCTCCCGTTTATCGCCTAGTCGAGTGGAGCAATGTGAACTCGACTGAGGACAAAATTTCTCTTTGGCGTCGATTCAAGAAAGCGTGTACCCGTGCCACTATCTACACATACCAATGGATCAGGCGTCTGGTGCAGAAAAACAAGAACGCGCCGCAACCATTTCAAGATGAACGGCGCGCCTCAGTTTTGACGACTGTGACCCCGCGAACGTCCGTGTATTCTCAACGAGGTGACCACGGTATGGAAGAAGACGCCGTTGAGATGACTCCTGTTCCATCACCCTCTCCCGAGGCGCGCCCAGATTGGCCACTACCTGCTAGTGATTCGGATCAGTTCCTTCATCCGGACAAGAGAAACCGAGACAGCGTACAGGCACCTGTATCACCTACGACACCGCCGCGAAAAGGTGGTAGTGTGGTAGATCCGTCGAAGCAGACACCCGGCAAGGCTAGATTCAAGCGCGATTATTGGAAAAATATTCAGGTTGGGGATTTTGTTCGACTGTACAACGGAGACCCTATTCCCGCCGATATTGTTGTTCTGTCGACTTCAGATCCCGATGGTGCTTGTTACGTGGAGACCAAAAATTTAGATGGCGAGACAAACCTCAAGGTCCGTCAAGCTTTGAATTGTGGTCGTCAGGTCAGGCATGCTAGGGATTGCGAAAAGGCCGAGTTTCTGATCGACAGTGAGGCTCCGCATCCCAACTTGTACGCCTATAATGGTGCAGTTCGCTGGGATCAGCGCGATCC